CATGAAATAACTATAGAATTTAACAATCAGTCATGCTACTTCGTATTAGCGTTGAAATAATTATTTAGTAGCGTTCAGTGTTCGAGGAAATGTTAAAGTTATTAGTCATTTGCTATCATGACATCATCAACTATTATGGTTTTTATATGCGTATTTGAATGTAATGAGAGGGGAGGGCACACCCTTTACTCTATTCTTTATTACAGAAGGTAGGTTATTGACCCTGCTAATATATAAGAAAAAAGGGATATGACGGTTTAGCAAGATGTAATAAATGAAACATTTCTAGTACGACGCTTTAAGTTACTTATTATTTAGTGGTCAGAAACAAAACTATTATAGCGCATCCATTTTGAGTGTTTATGTATAGGTAATAATACATATACATGGTTTAACTTTTAGGAAACTACTAGCCAATATCTTCCTTAGAATTCGGAAAATCTCAATAACATTTTTCTATCTGCGACCCGAAATCTAGATTTCATTATTAGCAGTGAAATTTGTAACATTTTGACAATTAAGATGCAATAAAACTGCAATAAATACGATTAATATTTTTTCCAAAATTTTCCGAATAACCTACCTACTTGCATATTCCTACAAAACTTCTGTAAGATAAGAAACTGAACTCCTTGCAAAGTCATGAAACATTAACACAAATTATCAAGTAAAATACTAATTAAAAATTGGTACATTGCACAGTTTGCAATTCATTATTCAACCTCGATGGTAAACTAGCAACTTTATTACTAGTTCGCGGCGGCTGAGCGCTGCATTATTAAGGCATGGTCGACTCCATTTACCCATGTAATGTGCCGTGGAAAATGTTTGTATGTATGTTAAAATAGCAATTATTTTACTTCAGCCACGTTATGGCAAATGCCTTGTGTTATTTTAGAACCAGAATATTGGGTAAAAATTACGTGTATGGTAAGTATTAATTTTAAGGGTCTACGATTATTTTATCATGACATATCAAAATCATATACAAGAAACTATTTATTTGAATTATTTTATTTTAAGTAGGTAAATTATTTTTAGTTTGATTTACTCCCGGTTTAATTATGGCATAACAAAATAATGTTTAATAAGAAACTAAAAAGAAATACTTGTTATGCTTACAACTTACAATAGGTTGGAAATCAAAGAACGTATGGTAGTGCAGTCAAAATACCTTTTGTTACACGTTCCAAATCGGTAGACAAAAGGCTTTCGGTAATACAATTGCAACTGTCATGGTGGCTCGGAGGTTTAAGACGCCTGCTACTCATGCATGAGGGTGCGGGTTCGGAACCTACCAACTGCAAGTACCAATGTGACTTTTACCGGGTTATATGTACTTTCTAAGATTATTTAGACACCACTGACAAACGGTGAAGGAAAACATCGTGAGGAAACCTGGGCTTTTATAATTTCTAATTATAAGTTTGAAATCGCCAACCCGCATTGAGCAAGCGTGGTGATTAATGCTCTAACCTTCTCCGTGTGAGAAGAGGCTTTGCTCAGCAGTGGGCATTTATAGGCTGTTGATGATGATGATGAATACAATTGCACCTGGCTACTTCCAGTAAAATCTTGTTCGAATAAATAAAGCGCATTCAGCAGATTTAAAGTAAATTGTGGCGGGCGCTGCATTGTTTCTGTATCTACTTTTGGGTGGCTGCATGTATTAATTTATTCAGCACGTTTTTCGCTGCTCGTGCTTTTGTTGTATGTAATCAGTCGATTGGACATATCAATCTCCGGTTGAATAAGTGCGTATAAATAAAAACAACATCATTCTTTGTTAAACGAACAACAATAACAATGCATATTTTTATATGAACAAATTTTTCTCCTGCTGCTTTACTTTAGCTATATTTTTTATTTAAACTTTATACGGTTATTGAAAATGCAATCAAAAACTTCCTATAAATATAAATGGTTTTCTGTTATTCAATTCAGTTTAACGAGCTTTGTAATTCGTGTTTATTTTGAGAATTTATATTATCATTTCATTTGTAATACAACATTACGCATTTACGTATAACCCCAGCAGTATTTTAATATGGTTTTATATCACTCTGATAAAGTTCTCACTTCTTATTTTCGCTTCTAATTCACTTACACTTAATACTGTGCAAATGGAAAGTTGTCGTTGAGACACGGGTCACAAAGGTCGAGCATACGTACCCTAACTTTAGCGTCTAGGGATTTATTGGACAACTGATTCCGACAAAGTAAACTTTGGCCAAACATTTATTAGGACCCAAGAGATACTTCCTAAATCTTGTTGGATCAAGTAGTGGATAAAAAAATAATATATCATGGTTAAGAGGGTACTTAAAACTTAATTGCGGGAGTTTGCACTTTCACCCGAATTTAGGGAGACAAGATGCCTACTTTGTTATTTATGGCACACTAAGAATGACTAGTTAACAGTATCATCCTAGCCCGTTACTAAGGGACGATATTCCAGTAAAAAGTACCAGGGACTGCCTGATTGTTAATGTGATTTGCAAACGACGCTTGCTGCAATTTTGTGTGGAAAGCAAAAAACCGTTTCGTTTTTCTTTTATATGAATATCATTTGCATGCTAAGCCATTCATCTGGGTCAATTTGATTTTAGAAAAAGTTAAATAAGACAATGAAAATGCTTAATATAATAAATGGAAGATTTAGTTTGCCATTCGCTGTAAAAGAATGGAAAGGCATTTATCATCTAGTGTAGGCTAAAAAATTCTGGGTAACCAAACAACAGGGGTTTGTATTTCGGTGAGTCCGGAAATGAATGTATGGCATCTCCGAACGGGAAATATGTCCCAAAAAGCGGTAGTGTAACAAAATGTATTACTCCATATAGGACAGAGGTAATCCTATGTAGATGCTGGAACTGCGGTCGCCTAACAAATTGCATTGCTACAACGAGCTACGAGATTCGACCGCAATCTAGACAACGGCATAAAACTAAGCCTTTAAAATGAATATGCTCAATACAATGTTCCAGTCTTTAAGTTTGACCGACTTTAAATGAAGGAAGTTATTCATTTGATGCCAAATGATATTAGAATAGAATTTCAAAGTATTAATTTATATTATCTTCTTATGTAAGGTCCCATTCGTAAACCGAAATTCTTTAGCCAGTGAATTATTTAAATATCTATTACTAAGTCCAATTTTTGAACCGAGTTAAAGTCAGCAGTGTAACACAAAATGTTGTGGTCTGAAGTACATGCCTAACTGAACATTCATCCGTAGCTACACAAAACTGAAGCACTCACAGTTATTTACTGAAAATTTCGTGTAACATCGCTGCTAGTCTCTTTAGGGAAAACCAAGCGTGATAACATGCTCTGTTGATTTCCTCTTTACATTATGATTTATGAAAATACTTTAACACCAGTTCTCTATTTAGACATCGCTATTAACGAGCCAAAACCTACCGACGGTTATTTATGGCCAGCCATTTCATAGTCGAGTCACGATCTCTCTTTCTGGGAGCGTAAACGTATACTTTAACTTGGAAAGTCCTCGGGAATAGGATGAATTCAAAGTCTCTTAATTATCTCAAATATTATGACAATAATTAAGATTCATGCTTAATAAATCTGAATACAAAATGAATGTAACTTAAGCTTATTTCGGTCAAATAGCGATTATAGTATCGCATCTTTTGAAATTAATACCATAGCAGTGGGTATGGCTTATTGCAAACATAAACTTTGAGTTTTGTGAAATTCATAAAACCAAAATCTCAACAATGGATACTGCATTCAACATGAGAATTGCGCCCGACCTCGTGTCTAGCACCAAGTGCCCTTACTGAACAGAAAGTCTATTGTTGTAAACCTACAATCTCCACCCAACAAAGAAGTCGTTAGACATTAAAGAAAGCTATTATTATGAAATTATTTTTGACATTAAACCATTTCGTGTTCAAAGTACGAAAGTAGGATACACAAACCGGTGGTTCGGTGTGGCCTTGGTGCGGTGTCAGCCAGGAGCCCGAGGCACTTGCGTGATTCGGTGAGTCGGTCACAGTATACAGGACATAGTAGACAGAATAAAACACAAAGGGTGTAAGCCTGCGAATGATTCTAGTTTGACGCTAGAACGTGTTCGGTAGTGACGATTTCACACTATAAGAGAGAACTCGAATAATAGGCCGTCCTTTGTGCCAGAGACGTGGCTCGCGATACTGACATTGTTCCGCTTTGAAGTGCGAAGTAAAAAAGAAACGAGGGATTATCGAGTACCTAAATGGTTTCAATGCAAGCTTGCTTTAAGCTACGTTTAGGTGATAGTTTAACTGAAATTTGATCCAATACGACGATATAATATCAAAACTCTCATATCAAAGTACGTTAAGTGCAATAATATTGATATTGTTAAAAGGTAACAAGCTCAAGTTTAGTCCCCAATTTCAAATTAAAATGTTACCATGAAAATAAAAATTATATTATTATATATGTATGTAGCTATATTAAATCCATATTTAAGGCTTTTCAATACCTTAGTTAGCTTCCTAACTTAGCTAGATGAAAAATGGACTGAATAGGCAAGGCATAATATGATCATGTTCTTCGTTCATGACACATTTATGGCTTGCTACCGCATCGGGCTTATACATAAAATAGGTAATCAAGTATTCACCGTGCGGTTAGGGGCTTATCCATAACAATACTTTGTCCTGACTAGACACACGAGGAAATGCATTATTCAGCTGAGTACATAGTCTATTTTATTCAGCCAACGTTGCACGGGAATAATCCAATATGTATTTAGCATTTCCCTTCCTCATAGCTACATTAAAATTTCATAAACAGATCGTAAATGAACTGTAATAAAGCGAACTTTGGGTTAGTATAATGTTTTGGTGTTCTGCGCTGTTTAAATACACTCTGTCAGTAAATATCACGTATGACTATTATATATTATGTACTAGTAGTTCTTGATTGTTTCCTGGGTATGTAAGTACATATTTTCTGTAGGTACAATTAAAAAAAGTTATAAGACTCACCTGTTTTCACCAGTTTGAAGGTAACTTGCTGTTGATTCTTAAGTTGTTCATTATGCGTCGGGTGCGTGAGTTCTCGCAAAGCCATCTCAACAGACGGTTGCTGCTGCATGATGGTAGGGCGCGGCGGCACCGACTGCTCTCTCGCTCTACTCAGCTTACGGAAGAAACTAACTTTCTTCGACTTAGGTGGACCTGGGAAAAAAGAGTAATTCCAATTTCAAATTACATGCAAAGTAAGCATTGTAAAAGTATTAAAATAATCAACGCAAAAACCATCACACTGTTATGTTTAACCTCATGAACGTGATACGTGCCTAGTGAAGCGTTAATGCTGTTATTTCGCCATGTACCCATGCTTAAATAAAGTGAAGATACGGGTTAGTTAGATGATCACGCGTTTTCAAACTCAAACCGCACTCTCATTCAGAACCTTCAGTAGACGAACGTTGTGGTGTTGGTGTCGAAGGTGTGGACGTGCGAGCTGAGGTCGCGGGCGAGGAACTCGGCTCGGACTGGGGCCGCGGTGGAAGAAGGCTTAGCGTAGACGCTGTTGGTGTTGGAAAGTGTGCAGCCGAGAGATCTGATCGGCGATCCGGTTCCGGTGTAGTGACTCGGATATGGGCACCAAACTGCGGTGAGTTCGCGACTTCGAACAGTGCATCGAAGTCGCGATCGAATATGTTCTTTCTGGAGAACGCAGGAGTAGGAAGGGGTGCGGGCAATTCAAATTCATCGGGAGCGGGGGTCCTAACAATTTTGCCGAATTCAGTATCCTCATGGCGGCCGAGCTTCTTGAGCAGCTTTGCTTTGGTGCGCTCGCGCAGCTTTGGGCGCTCGAGCGACGGCGTCGGCGATGCCGGCGCGCGCTCTGGAGGCTCCGGAGGCGCCGTTTTGAGGTGGGTTTTGTCGCAAGAGAGGGTGGGGGTGCGGGGCAGGGGTAGCGCGCTGTACGGCGCTCGCGGCGGCGGCCCGTAGATAATGTCAAGCGTAGGCCGCTGCCGTGGCCGAGGCAGCGATTGCGAGCTGTATGTCAGGGAAACTACTTCATCCGCAGGATATATTACGTACATCCCTGGTGAGACCGCATCGCGCAGGCCCCTCGCGCCCTCCGAAGAGGTTTACGCGCGTCGATTGAGCTACTACTAAGATCTAGTGGCAAGTAACTTTGTTCAGTACTTTACAGAGAGTAAAGTAGTTGGGACACGATTTACACAGGAATAAGTTACAAAGTTTACGTCGATTGGAATGTTTTTAAATGTTAAGTTGCCTTTTGCGTACTACAATGTAAGTTGAAGAGCGATCAAGGAATGTTTTATGGAAGGGATCTTGAGCCATATTAGGTAGGGGTAGGAAGGTTTCTTCGTGTAGTGTCTGCCAATTCCGTACAACGAATCTTCAACCTAGAGAAACAAAAAGCTATGCTTATTACCTGGTGAACATAGTCACGAACAAAGGAAAATGTGAGGTAAATAATGACACTGTAGCATCTGTTTATTTTGTAGTCATGTTTGTAGCAAATAGAACCTAAACTCAAACAGCCTCTGTACACGCACGCTTGACATCGTAATGTTACATACGAGTACGTGAAAAGCGACATTGCACACTAAATTGCGCCGTAGTTTATTACACTTACATGTTCATCAAAACTTTACCAAAATGTTTAAATAAGTGAACTGTTTTAACTAGTACGTATCAATTTTATCTGCGCTATAATAATATATAAAATTATAATCTTTATTCTATGTAATATAATATTACGATGATAAAAAATCATCATCATGCTGATAATTACCGCTGTAATTAGTAAACACTTCCTAATAAACAAAAGAAGATCCACTGTAGTAGGTACAAGCGAAGTTTAGCTTGAGTATAAACTAGAAAGCAACTTAGACAAACGGGTCAAGTGTCACCACAATAGAGGGCTGGGGGAGCGAAGTGGAGTAGCTCTCAAATTTTTTCACGAACGTGGCGATTCTCTACAGATTCATTTAAATTTTCCTTTGCTTACGCTAATAAGGGAATGCTTTGTGACCACACGTTTTAATAAGGTCGGAATATGTATGTCGGATCTTTTTATTTAAATTATACTTACTCAAGTTTTAAAATTCTGAAGTATGCGTTAAATACGTATTCATTTAGTATAGGTACCTAAATTGAGCGCGTGGTTAATGCTAAAGTTTTAGAAAGATGTGAATTTTATCCACATTTTTTAATAGTTGAGTAAATCATAATTACATCATTCGTAGCATTACATTCTTGTTCGCTAGCGATTAGTGAAGCTGGCGGGACGCCGTTACGTCACCTAAGGATGTGCTGAAAATCAGCGCTGCGACGCTAACTTCTCGAGGTTTAAGTCGTAGGAATTGCTGATTGGGATTTACATGCAACAAGTATACGTACAATCATAGGGTATAACTTCAAATTGTTTTGTTGTAACAAAACAATTTATGAAGTAAAGTCTTGTTTGCTTATGGTCCACAGATAATAGTAGTTTTTATAACATTAGCAATTCACCCTGTCTGTGGACCATGAACAAGACTTCATTTTGCTTGAGCCTTGGTATTTTAAGTTATAGGTATATTATTTTCTATTCTATTATATTTTATTTTTTGTAGTTTACCTTATATTTTTTTTTTTTTGATTTTAATTAAGTGTATGTTCTGCGCAGAAATATTTTTTTATATTAGATGGGACTGTCGTTTGACCACTATCTCGCCTGGTGGTAAGCGATGATGTGGCCTACGATGGAACACGTCGACCCATTCACCTATTCACCTATTCACTCGGGATTTGAAGACACCCAGGTTATACCCTTCAGGAAATACAGACTCTGGCAAAGAATTCCACTCCTTAGCAGTACGCACAAGAAAGCTTGATGCGAAGCGTTTCGTGCGTGTGGGTAAATAAAATAAATAAATAAAATAAATAAATGGTTTCTTTCTTCTTTCTTTCTAGTTAAATCAATATTTTGGCACTTATAATATTATAGGTATACTGTTTCCAGAAACAAATCCGAATATTTTTAAGGACAGTTTGAGCATAACCAATACCTAATTGAAATACAAACCCAACATCACCTTTATAAGACAATAATTTATAAAAATATCCACAGTAACGATACGTTTATTGACCTATTTAGACTCAAATCACGTAAAGCAATTAGACAATACATGTGAGATTTGTATGAGTCTGATGTTGTAAGCGGCATTTTAATAGACGGCTCCAGTTTCAAGTAATCCCGAGAGGAATTGTTACGCCGCGCTACAGAAACAAATACTCGTACTGTGGCTTGGTAGATACGAATTTGTTTAGCATATCAAAATAACAGTAAGGATAATCATTGTTGTTCATTGTATAATAACTGCCGTTTTTTAATTAATTTGCAAGTAATTTTGGTTTTAATTTTGATAAAATTAATTATAAATTTAATACGTCTAGTATTAGCTGCGAAGCATAATCCTACCAATATTATAAATGCGAAAGTTTGTGAGGATGTATGTGTGATGAAATTTGGAACAGGGGTAATGTTCTGGAATAACACATAACACATAACTTAACATCACGCGTTTTATCCCCGAAGGGGTAGACAGAGGTGCACATTATGCCATTGTACAATGTAGGTAACACCCACTTTTCACTATTTATGTTATGAGTCCCATGCAATAGGGTGTGAGCCTATTGTCATATATCGGGCACAATTCCAAACTCAGTGTTACTACTGAGAAATTTTTAAAACCTAGTAATACTTTCCCCGACCCGGTAATCGAACCCGAGACCCCTTCCCGGCAGTCGTACTTGCGACCACTCGGTCAACGAAGCAGTCAACTAATCTGGAATAATACATAGGCTACTTTTTATTCTACGGAAATGCGGGCGTAGTCGCTAGCAGAAGCTAATAATAATTATAGATTTCAATTAATTCCAAAATTCATGGAAACTACATTTTCGGGGCACAATGTGTTGACATTGAACCCAGTGTATGATAACTACTGACGATAACGTATGACATTACCTTGGACACATAAAAAAACCGCTACATATACATATAGCACACATGAAATACCTTTGGAGAATACACTAGATTTATTCTAGTTTAAAATAATTCGCTCGATCAGATTACTAAACAACCTTTTAATATTGCAACGGTCCATTTAGTTTTTATGTACTAGCAAGGAGCCTTCGTAACAACAGCACGATTTTAAACTGTCTTTGAAAAATCTGAGAAAGAAATTGGCTTTTCCTACGAAGAAATGTAATGGCGGCAAGCGAGGTATTTTTAAATTCGATTTAAAATTATTCTTTGGCTAATATTTGTATTTAGTGTTTCATCCATTGTAAGAGAAATGGTTCTTTAAGATAACTGCAATGAATATTGTAAAAAATAAATTTTACAAATTATTAGAATGTTTCGTTGAGCGGACAGACTCTACTTAAAGGTTTTTAACATAACATAACATTACATAACATCACGCCTTTTATACCAGAACGGGTAGGTAGAGGTGCACACAAAAGTAACACCCACTTTTCACTATTATGTTATGAGTCCCATGTAATAGGCGGTGAGCCTATTGCCATATACAGTGAAACCTGGTTAAATGAGACATCAAGGGACCTGCAATGTCGTTTCACTTATAGAGGTATTCCACTTACCCAGTGTCTCAGATATACAGGCTTAAATAAATATCTGTCTCATTTACAGAGGGTTCTATTAATAGAGGTAGACTTGGAATTACGTATGGAATTTGTGGGTAAAATAAGAATGAGTAAACAAACAATGTTATCTCAGTTACAGAGCTTTATGCATATAAAATTTACTCACTGTCTCAGTTATAGAGGTAACTATGATGATAAATCGGAAGAACAAATCCCAGATATAGAGGTTTACCTCATCCCACTAACAGAGGTAATTCAGTGCGAAAGTGTTGGGACCTCAGCACGAGTTCCAGTTATGGAGGTTTCTCACTTATCCAGGTCCCACTTAACCAAGTTTCACTGTACCGGGCACAATTCCAGACTCCGTGCTACTACTCAGTTTTTTTTAAAAACCCTGTAATACTTTGCCCGACCCGGGAACCGAACCCGGGACCCCTTGCCCGGCAGTCGCACTTGTGACCGGCAGTCAGTCTAAAGGTTTTTAATTAAATATGAAGTAAAAACTGCGTCATATAACACTACTTATGTAATAATTACATCAGTCAGGTTGATTCATAAAGGGTATCGGGACTTTTCCAGCTTTGGATATAGGTACCTGCGTCATACGTCAATGTTTACTCATTCACCTGTTTTGCAACACATACAATAAAAACAAATACTTTAGAGATAAAAGATTAATATTAGGTAATACAAACAATGTACATGACGTCAATTTAACGTCATTACCTTATTTTAACGTCGATACGTATGTAATAGATTAGGCTTTCATATCAAAATGCGTACGTAAGTGATAAGAAGATTTATGACAGTCAATTCAGGTAGATAGAAAACAAAAAAATCTGTGGTTAGGTATTTTTGGATATGAACAAAGGAGAGTCACTCTTGTGTCATGGAAGTATGATGGCAGTTGTTCTAAATGTGCTATTGACTTAGGTACATATTATCGAATTTGTCTAACAGTTACCATTGATGCCAACCTATACTCCGTCTGTTTAGGTAGTTAACTATTTGTAAACAAACCATAAAAAGAGTTCTTTATAGTTGACATTTCCATGATTCAAAATACTTCATAAGAAAATAAAATTGTTTCCCTTTTTACGACAGTTTTCTCTATTAAATGTTATGTTTCTGTTCCTTTTCACTTATTTCTTAGTAAATATTATATATATCTGCTTGAGCATAATAATTTAATAACATTTATTAAATAATATAATATTTCATTACAATAGACACCATAAAGAGCCTAAAATCCCAGGTATCCAAAACCCTTCTTTAAGAACGAAGCAAAATAATGTTGTCAAATTAAAGAGTACAACTAAGATGTAGCGCGACAATGAAAGTAGCGTGTATTACGTTTAGTCGGTTAATCAGGCGCCATTGACAGCTCTCTCGTCGTTTGCGCTCGCGTTCCTATTTT